CGTGAGGGGTGGGTAGGCGGGCGCGCCTGCTGGGGCCGGGCCACCGCAGCTCGGAGGTGGCCCAGCCGGGGCTGTGTCCCGGGCGGGGCTGCGGCGTCGGGGCGCAGGCAGGGCCTGGCTGGTCGCTGCAGGACCAAGCCTTCTCTGGTTGCGCGCAGGACGCGCCACGGACGCTGGGGTCTCCTGGGACACTCCCTCGGTTGAGTCCGCAACTTTGTGCGGTCTCCTGGCCGGCTGGGACCGCCGTGTGTGTACGTGTGTGTGCGTGTGTACGTGTGTCTCAGCGCGCCTGTGATCGCTCTCTCTTGGTGTGTTTTAGAGTGTGTTCTGATGTGTGCATATTCGCGTATCTGCGTGTACACGGAGCTTGTGTCTGTGTGTCCCTGTGTGCGTCCAGTAGACTATGGACGGTGTGTCAGTTGTGTGTTCGCGTATGCGTGCCCCACACCCCACCCTCTGGTCTGGCTTGTTCCCCCCGGAGTGGGGGGAGGAGGGGCTTTTCCTCCTGGAACACTCCTACACGGTTACCAGCTGGGAGGCTCTAGCTCGGTACCCCAGGGCCGAGTAACCCCAGGGCCAAGTAACCGGGAGACGCCCCTGGCCAAGTGGAATCAGAGCTGACCCCTTGCTGGAGCCGCCTCCTCCTCGCAGGCCGCCAGCCTGAGACAACGGACCTCCTCGGGATGGAGTTTGCCTCCCCACTGCAGTCTCCAGTATCTAGACGCCCGAAATCCCATGGCTCCCCAGTTCGCTGCAGCCCTGCTTGCACTTGGGCTCGCTCTGCAGCTCTGGAGCCATTTGGCCAGCAGCTTTGACTGCCTGGTGCCTGAGAGATGCCCAAGGCCACCTCCTGCCCACCCTTCCCCACCTCCTTCTGCATGTCCTGCAGCAACTTTGCTTTCCTCATCCTGAGATCATGCTCCCCACTCCCACCTCTGCCACTCAGGTAATCCAACTCCTGCCAGCAGGGGAGATTATCATGAACAGGTTTGGGAGTGAGCCCCAGAGCAAGTTCCTCTCATTCTTGATGCCTCAGTTTTCTCATCTGCCACAAGGCCTTGATAATAAAGATGAAGTAAGGTTTTATATTATAGAGTGTTGGGGAACAAAAGATGACTTTAAGTGTTGTTACAAAGCCTCAGAGGCTGTAATTTGCTGTCCAGTTTATCTTGGGAAAGTCACTTTGCTTCTAAACTTCACTTCTAAATTTTCTGGCCTCTTAGTACCGTTACTATTAGAACTAAATTCAGAAACTCTTAGTAGAAAAGATGTGCTATCCCCCAGCCCCCAATCTGTGTAGGTTCACTGCAGCTTCCCAAGTGCCTTCTGAGTTTCCCAGGTAAGGTGTGTTTGTGATATCTCTTGGAGGGGCACGCCTGGCAGTAATTTATCCTGCTGTGTTATTGCTCGTTTTGTCCTTTCTGCTGGAGCTGTGGACAGCTGGAATGAGGGAGAGGCTGCCTAGTGGTTTCAGGTTGGGCAATAAAGGCTTGTCTGGGCATCCAGCCTTTCCCTTCTCACTGGAGCTGGGGGAGGGGACTCGACAGAAAGCAGTGAATGGCTAGAGTGGGAGTACTGAGTTCAGGGGCAGACTGCTGTCCAGGTCTGATGTCAGAGCACCCTGTTTCCTAGAGGTGTGCCGTTAAGCTTCTGTGCTTTTGTCTGCTAAGCTAGGCTTGTGGGCTGGGCTTTCCATGCAGGGTGGGGTTAGCCAGAATTGCTGCAGGTGCTTTGTGCCCCCTTCCGCCCTCCATCCTTTTCCCTTCTCCAAGTTGCCCTCCTATATCCTGTTGTGTCCTGTCCATATGCTGTCTCAGAGGCTCTCCTAGCTGTCCGTCTCTCCATCTGCAGCCATCTTTCACCTGAATGAAGGCTCCAGCCTCTTTCCTCCACAGTGCAGGGACATTCCTAAGACTCATGTTTTAAACCCAGGTTTAAAACACTCTAAAGGGTCCCCCTTGCTTTCAGGGTTATGTCCTTGTTCCTTAGCCCTATTGTTTACTCTGGTTCCTGTCAAGCCCTGTCTTGTTCTGTGCCACTTGTCCTTTGCATCCTGTGATCTAGCCAGTCTGACCTTCTTACCAGTACTCCCCTTGGTGCCTGTGGCTCACCACTTCCTCTCTGGGCCTTTGCACAAGCTGTGCTTTTTCCCCAGAACTCTCTTAACTCTACCTCTTGGCAGGTGAACTCCTGTAACTTGCTCAGCTCTCAGCTTAGACATCATCCCCTCCCTGAAGCCTTCTTTGGTTATGCCTAGTCCTAGACCAGGAAGCAGGGGTGGGGGTTGATTGGATTTTTACATAGCATTGTAATTATTGTAATTATAGTTTATTGGTCTTGTCTCCCTTACCAGACCTTGAGTTCACCTCTGAATCCTTAGTACCAGGCGCAAGGCCTGGCCCACCTGGTCTGAGTAAATGTATGTGACAGGAAAGAAGGAAGTCAAGGGGGTCAAGTTCAGAGCTGGAGATGCCAGATGGGGGCGCACTGACTCCACTGAAGGTGGAGATTAAAGAAATAGGGTTTCTTTCCAGGAATCTGGAAAATTCTGCTGGGGGATGGTGTTGTGTTGTGAAAAGGCCAGGGTAGAGAGGGTCATCTGGGAGCTTTGAGTTGGGGAGGTTGGGTCCCTGGCAGACACCAGGAGGGAGCAGGTCTCCTGCCTGCCTTCGAGCCCCTCCCACCAGGCCCCAGCCCCACCCCTGGCAGCTGGCAGGGCTTGTCCCGCTCCCAGTCTCAGCCTTTTGTGACAGTTGGTGAGGCATTGAGTCTCAACGGTCTGTCTGAGCATCTGGGGAGGAGGGAGAGCAGAGGGAGGGTGCTGCCTTAGACGGGCAAGGGAAGCCTCTGGCAGATTCTGCCTCTGTCCTCAGTCCCAGATCCTGGGGTGGGCAGATGGGATCATGGCCTCTGTCCTGGCTGCTGGGGAAGAGGGAGGAGACCTGCTTCCTGGGTGGCCTTTGGGGGAGGGTTGGGAGAGGGTTGGGGGAGGCTGGTAGAGGTGTGCACAGGTGGGACACTAGCTTTGGGCAGTCAGAGTTGGGTGTGTGAGAGAGAGAGTGTGTATGTGAGTGTGAGATTATAGCCAGGGCACAGGGCATATAAGTGGCCTGTCAGAGTGTTTAGCCAACTGGTTAACCTGGTGTGGCAGGATCTGAGTTTGGAGTAAGGAGGTGACCAGCTGCTTTGATCCCTGGATAGCCTGACATTAGGGTGTCTAGATATGCAAGTGTCAAATTCCTGGAGTTGGGTGCAGAGCTATTTTTTCTTTTTGAGACAGAGTCTCACTTTCTTGCTCCTGGTAGAGTACTGTGATATCATAGCTCATGGCTCATAGCAACTTCAAACTCTTGGGCTCCTGCGATCCTCTTGTCTCAGACTCCTGAGTAGCTAGGACTATAGGCGCCTGCCACAATGCCTGGCTATTTTTAGAGACGGGGTCTCCCTTTTGCTCAGGTTGGTCTCCAACTCATGAGCTCCAGTGATCCACCTGCCTCAGCCTTCCAGCCTGCTAAGATTACAGGCATGAGCCACCATACCTGGCCAATGTGCAGAGCTATAGGTGATGTTGTAGTATCTAGGTGTGGGCATCCCAGTACCAGGGTGTGAAAGGATCAGGGAAGGCAGAGGATATCCCAGTGCCTCTGGATCTGGAGTTGGGCATATCCAGGTGTCTAGGAGTCCTTGGGTTAGTGGATGTTCAAGTGCAGAGTGTCCCTGTGTTGTGGCCAGGTATCCATGTATCTGAGTGTAGGGCTACCCACGTGTCTGGATATCTGAGCGTGGGGGTATCTATATATACAGGTGTGAGTCTGGGTGTGAGGTGCCACATGTATATTTGCACGTTTAGCTGTGGAAATGCCCTAATGTCCTATGGGTGTGCCTCCAGGAATGGGGTGTGGATGTGTTGACTGGGAGTG